GAACTCTGAATCCAGATGTGTACATGATGACTCAGACTTTATTTTTTTAAAGATCTTATTTTTATGCATACAAGAGCTGGGGTACAGGCCAGAGGTGTGTGTGTGTGTGTGTGTGTGTGTGGAGGGGGGGTGGTGGTGGACAGAATTCACCAGAGACAGAGTGGAGAACAGAACAGGCAGATCAACCGAAACATTGCTGAGGGGAGCAACGGGTGAGTCAGGAGAGGTCTGTTGTGCCATGTGGGTAGCCCCCTGACTGGCCAGGGATTGAACTTGTGCTGCAGAGGCTGCGGATTGCTTCATAGTGTGGTGCTTAACCCCTTGTGCCACCAGGGAGGCCTGATGACTCAGACTTTTTATTAACAATCTTAAAACTAAACATTAAAAACATTTAAAGGGCCTCTCTGGTGGTAGGCATGGTGGGTGCCCATGAATTTTGGAAGCCTGGGGGCTGTGGTAGTTTTTCCTCTTCACCAGCAGAGGGTGAAGGTCTTTCCAGGAGTGAGTCTTGTGTTTCCAGTCAGTGCTGGGCCAGTTCTCTCCCCTCTGCCAGAACCAGCTCACCTTTCTCTGTGTAACTGGATCAAAGGAGAAAGCTCCTTCCTCCCTGATCCCTCCTGGGCCAGGTGTGCCTGTGCTGCCCTCTGTGGGTGGTATCATTGCCTCGAATATGTCCTTTCTATCCCCATGGCCATTCTTTCACACTCTACCCCAGTTCTCTTTCTCGTTTGGGTGCTCAAGGAAGTCTTAGACCTAGACACGTTGGTGTCAGGACACCAGCCAATCGGCGGAGGCAGGAATCACTGCCCCCCCTTTGCTCAAAGCTTCCAGTGGCTTCCCACTCATTGCTGTAGTCTGACATTCAAGGCTCTCCACAACAGGTCCTTATTGCCCTCTTCGACTGCCTCTCTCCTGCTAAATCCCTGACTTTAGCCAAACTGGTACATTCATTTTCCCCAAACATCTAATTTGGCCCTCAGCCTTTATCCCCTTCTCACTTGTTTAAAAACTCCACTCTCCTTTAAGAGCCACAGAGCTGCCCATGACCACTCTCCTTTAACTTTGTTAGTACAACTCATTTCACATGCCACATATTCCCTCTTACTGCAATATATCTTGTTTATTTTTTGTTAGAGAATTCTTTCTTTTAAGATTTATTTTTATCTATGCATACAAGAACTGGGGTGTAGGCCAGAGGTACGGGGGTCAGGGGAAGGATTCACCAGAGACAGAGTGGGGAGCAGGACAGGCGTATCTACTGAAATACACTGCTGAGGGGAGCAGCAGATGAGACAGGAGCTGTCTGCCATGCCATGTGGGTCACCTTCCTGGCTGGGGATTGAACTCAGGCAGTCAAGGTGATAGCCTGAGACTTAACCCCTATGCCACCAGGGAAGCCTGCAAAAGTCTTGTTAATTTAGTTTTTATTTAATTTAAAAATTTATTTTATAACCAAAGTGATTTTTATTGTAAGAGATCCAAACAGTACACAGAGCAACATGCAGAACCTGTTCCCTTCCACTTTTCTCACTCCCATCCCTAAAGGTAGCCACTGTCAGCTGCTTGGTATGTATCCTCCTAGTTCCTTTTCTTTGTTTGTTTTTTAAAGATTTATTTATTTATGCATACAAGAGCTGGGGTACTGGCAAGAGATGTGTGTGTGGGGGTTGAGAGGATTCACCAGAGACAGAGTAGGGAGCAGAACAGGGGAATTGACTGAAATACACTGCTGAGGGGAGCAGCGGGCGAGGCAGGAGAGGTCTGCTGCGCCTTGTGGGTTGCTCCTTGGCCTGCGGGGATTGCACTCGTGCTGCAGAGGCTGCAGATTGCCTCATAGAGCAGTGCTTAACCCCTTGCGCCACCAGGGAGGCCCCCTCTCCTAGTTCCTTTTGTAAATGCACACACCTACACACATTGGGGAGGAGTTAAAATTATAAATGGGCCTGTATCAATCACATCTTTTTTTTTAAACTTAAGGGTATATGCATTTGTCTTGTAAGTTTTCCATATTAGTATAGAGCTTCTTTTTTAATGGGTTTTTCATGATTGCATAGTTGAATATTCAAAACAAAATATATTTGTCTACGATCTATCCTACCGAGGGTATTGCACAACTAGTACCTAGGGGCGTCAGACATGACCACGGCAGCGAGTTGACTTTGTCAAGGAGTGTAGGGAGAGGAGTGATGCAGCACACAGAAAAGATGTCCCCAAGATGTGCCTGGAGTTCAGGAATGTGAAGTCACTTCTAGCTGAGGCAGCAGGACTTTGTCACAGAGAAGATGAGCTTGGGTCGGAGGGAGTGTGACAGGTGATAGAAGAGCTTGAGCAGGACACAGACAAAAAGATACGATGCAGGTTTGTCTCATGCCAGCCTACAGCCCCTGAGCAGCAAGGGCCTGTGGTTCGGTTTGAAAGCCTTTATCAAGCACCGATGTGTCAGACAATATGCTAGCTAATGAAAATACAGAATGAAAGAGATAAGGCTTCTATCTTTAAGAGACTTCGTTTACTGGAATAAAAGCCCAAGTTTGGAAAGGCAAATTAGGGCCAGATCTTAAAACTTTCAATTGGTTTGTTGGGAAGTCTGAATTTTATTTATTGGGTGATGTGGAACCATGACAGACTTTTTAGTGGGCAGGAGATGTGACTGGAGCTGAGTAGACAGCAGAAGTGCACACAGTGGTGAAGTGGGGCAAGGATAGGCATAAAAATCTTAGTTTTAACAAGATAGAAGTTAATTTCTACCTCACGAGGTGTCTGGTGGTAGGTAAATTTGGGATTGGTATCAAGTTATCAAGGACGTAGGCTTCTGTCTTTCGTTTTACCATCCTACTACATGACTTCCACCATCCTACCACATGCCTTCCTCCAGCCTACCACATGCCTTCCATCTTCTTGGCCACCTCATGGCCAGAGCTTAATTCATCTCATCTGCATTCCAGGCAACGAGGAAGGAAATTATGGGGAGGAGCACACAATGATACACCTCTTAGCTAAATCAACTGCCTTTGGGAGTATTTCTGGAAGTCTAGGACAATATTTACAACAATTCTGTTTCTGTCTTATTGGCCAGAACTTAGTTATATGATTGTATCTAGCTTTACGGGAGATCTGAAAATGTAGTTTTCTGTTTAAAAAATGTCTTATTTTAGAAAGTTTGATACTTAATTTTCATGCAGTGCCATACACAGATCAGAAGAATACTGTTTAATTAGTTCTGACAAATGCATAGACCCATGTAACCTATATCCCCATCAAGATACGTAGAGCATTCCATCACTCCCAGAAATTCTCTCCTGTTGAGTGGACTTTTTTCCCCCCAAAGATTTACCTATGCATAGAAGAACTGGGGGGTAGGTCAGAGGGGGTAAGTAACTGGGGGTAAGAGGACTCACCAGAAACAGAGTGGGAATCAGAACAGGCAGATCTATGAAGCACACTGCTGAGGGGAGCAGTGGGGGAGAGGAGAGGTCTGTTCTGCCACATGCAGATTAGCTCCCTGGTGGGGATCGAACTCAGGCTGTAGCGGTGACAGCTCTGACACTTAGCCCCTAGGCCACCAGGGAGGCCCCCCTTTTTTTTAAACAACCCAAAAAATGAGGGCTTACTAGGGTGGTAGCCATGGGAAGAGAAAGAAAACAAGTAGCTGTAGAGGGAGAATTCAAAGACTAGACCTAGGAGATGAGAGAAGCATCAGAGAATGCTGACAGCAGATTCACAGGCAAAATCAGATTGGAGGGACATCTAGATTGCTGCCGATGGGACGGAAGGAGAAAGAAATGAGCACAGAATTGGGTATATTGAATTTGAGGTGCTGGCTGAACATCCAGGGGTCTATACCCCACAGGCAGTTGTCTAGAGCTTAGGAGGGCAGTCAAGAGCTCAGTGGTGTCAAATAGCAGAGAGATTCTAAACAGCACAAAGGACCAAGAAATGACTCAAGATTTAGGTGACTAAGCTCCCCAGTGACTTGACAGCGGAACCCAGAAGCCAAGACCTACGTGGGCAGTGAGGACTTAAAAACCCGAGTCCTTGCACAAGCATGAAAGGGTTACCCAGGTAGCTGCTGTTTTGAGGAATTTTTTTTTTAATATTTATTTATGCATACAAGAGCTGGGGTACAGGCCAGAGGTGTGTGGGGTGTGTGTGTGTGCCCCGCGTGCGCGGGAGAGAGAGAGAGGATTCACCAGAGACAGAGTGGGGAACAGAACAGGCGGATCTACCAAAATACACTGCTGAGGGGCGCAGCGGGCGAGACAGGAGAGGTCTGCTGTGCCATGTGGGTAGCTCCCTGGCCTGCTGGGGCTCGAGGCTGCGGATTGCTTCATAGTGCAGTGCTTCACCTCTTGCGCCACCTGGGAGGCCTGTTTTGAGGAGTTTGTTGAAAGGAAGTAGTGTCAGAAGAAAAGTGTCAAAAGAAAAGAATGGGGAGTCACCGCATTCTTAAGGAAGAAGCCCCTTGCTCTTTTCAGTTAGTTTCGTCAGGTGGGCGCCGTGCAGCTCGCTCTCCTCTTTGCTCTGTGACCTCCAGGAAAAGAAACTGCAGGGGCGGGGGTGGGCTGGCTCGCGAGCCAGGGCGGGGCTAGGGGCGAGGACACCCGTCCTCAGGGAGGGAAAAAGGCCGACCCTGGAGACACCCCGTCGTGGGTTTGAAACCTGGCGAGCTCGGGCGAGTCACTTAGCCTGAGCCTCCAGTTGCGCATCTGTAAAATGGAAGCAATCAGGCCGCCCTCTCAGGGTGCCCGTGAGGATCACAGACGCGTGCCCGGCGCCCATGGGTAACCGTCCCGGGGGCTGGCATGAGGCCCCTTCCCTGGCTACGGGAGAGGACAAGTCGGCGTCTGCGACCCCCTGATCCTCGAGGATTCGGCGGGCTCCCCGCGCCTCCCCCTCCGGAAGGCGGGGAGGGGGGGAGGAGGGGCGCGGGGGAGGAGCCGCCGCCGGGCCCCGCCCCCCGCCCCGTCCAGTCGGGCCGGGGCGCCAGGGGACGGCCGAGCGCCCGCCGCCAGCGCAGCCTGCCCGGGAGAGCCCGCGCCTGCCCGCCGCGTCCAGTCATGCCCCCGGGCGCCTCGCCTCTCGCGCCGCGCCTGCTGCTGCTGCTGCTGCTCGCCAGGGCGGTGCGCGGGGCTGAGGCCGGGTCCGAAACCGAAAGTCCCGTCCGGACCCTCCAAGTGGAGACGCTGGTGAGGAGACGGGCTGGGCGCGGGGGGCCCCGCGGCCGGGCCTGCGGGGGGCGGGGAGGCGAGGCGAGGGCGGGCCGGCGCCGAGCGGGGTGCGGGGTCCGGGACTCCGTGACTTGTGGAGTTCGCTCGTAGGTGGAGCCCCCCGAGCCCTGCGCGGAGGCCGCCGCTCTCGGAGACACGCTGCACATCCACTACACGGTGAGGGGCGCGCTGGGGGCAGGGCGGAGCCGGGAGGGGGCGGCTCCCCGCTGGAACACGTCAGCGCCGCGGGACACGTGGCAGGCGGTGCGGGAGGAGCTCGGCCTCTGGGGTCCTCGAGCACGTGGCGCGGAGGGGGAGGGGCGCCCCCCTCTCCCGGCTGCCTCCCCTTCCTGCCTCCCCGCCAGCTTCTTCCCTGAGGCGCGCAGGGTGGCGAGCGAGCGCCCCGAGGAGAGCAGTCCTGGGGCTTCCTGTTCCTCTCTGCCCCGAGGCGCCCTGGGGCTGTGGCAGCCACGGGATGCCGCCGCCCAGCGGCCCAGGTGTGTGTGGCCGGACTGCCGGCGGGAGGTGACCGGAGCTGCTCTCGGTGCTCTCTCCCCCCAGGGCAGCTTGATAGATGGGCGCATTATTGACACCTCCCTGACCAGAGATCCTCTGGTTATAGAGCTTGGCCAAAGGCAGGTGATCCCAGGTATGTGACCTGCACCTCTCACTCTACCTCTTTCCAACCTGAGCCACTTCAGCCTCCACACCACCCTGGGAATGCCCCCTAGAATGAGTTGAGACCCCAGGGCTCCATTGGCCACCTCCTGAGGCTCAAATCCCACCTCCTGTACTGCTCTTGCTCCATCCCCCACCGAAACCAGGGAGAGAAGTGGGGAGTCTTCCATGCTGGCTCCTGGGATTTGGGGGTGGTAGGTAGCTTCGCATTCAGTTGTGTTTTCTTCCTCAAGGTTTGGAGCAGAGCCTTCTAGACATGTGTGTGGGGTGAGTATCTGGGCAGGGGTGGAGTTGGGTTTCCCTTTTGTGTGGCTAGAGGCTTTCTCTGCCATCCCTGCTCCTAGAGGAGGCAGGAGAATGCTGGGTAAAGGGTCCTGGCTTCACCCAGAGTAGGTGAGCTTGTTGGGACTCTGAAAGCATCCACAGCCTCTCTGGCTGTGGGTTTTGTTGGACTTGAGGCATATGGGGGATGAGCATCTTTGCTCGTCAACCCATTTGGTGCTCAGGTGGGAAAGTTCATGTTTTGGGTGTAAACATCCAGAAGACTTTGCAGGTGGGGCTTCCGATGCACTGAGATTGTGGGCCCACCTAGTCCCTCCTCTGTCTGTGACTCACATTCCTTCCCCAGAGAGAAGCGAAGGGCAATCATTCCTTCTCACCTGGCCTATGGAAAAAGGGGATTCCCACCATCTATCCCAGGTAATCTTTCGAGGCCTCTCTTAGGCCACCACAATATCTGGTCCCCGTGAACTACCAGGAGCTTCATACTCTGTTTCTAGTTTGAAGTCTTGTTCCAGTTCGCTGGAAGGCTCAGGAGTGACTGGGAGCTTTTTGAAAAGGGTCGCTCTTCCCCTCCAGTTGTCAACAGGGATTCGAGATCTATAACCTGTTTAGGGCACCTGGCTTGCCTTCTGGCAGCCAGTGACGTTTTAGGGAGGAGACACTTGCTTGAGTCACATGGGTCTGCCCCCTATGCCACTGCTGCCAGAACTGCGCACTTCTATCCTGCCAGAATTCTAGTCTTTCCTGTAACCCAAACTGTGCCATTTGTACAGTTATGGCTTCTCCCTACTCTTTTACCCCACCCCTCAGCCTCCACCTGGGAAGAGGTACCAAAAATGATCATAGTTAAGTAATTCAAAATGCAATGAAACAAAAATCTTTTAAAATCCAAGCCCACGCCATAACTTTAAAAGCCTTCACAGGCCTGGGACTAGACAGATTTCCCAAAATGCATCTCTTTTGCTTTGGGTTGTAACAGTGTTCTGTTAGCCAAAATGTGCTATACTTCAGGATATAGGGATAATTGCTCTTTTTCTAGTTTCCCCTGGAGGGTCACCCACAACGAGGTGTAGGGGGACAAAAGACAAACTCTTTTACCCAAAGGTCTGTTCCCATTTCCAATGCTGCTTTGGTTTTTATTTCCCCTCCAACTCACTTCTGTTCCTTCCCCAACCCCTTGCATCTTAACCCTCCTCCTCGCCAACTCTTATGTTCAAACTTCTGTCGATTCTGATAATCACAGTGAGTGTGCTTATTGTTGGTTGGTGGCATTTAAAAAAAATCTAGTTTAAATCCAACTAATTTCAGCCCTGCAAGATTCTATCCATGTGGCTGTTTGGAAGTGCAGTACAGTTAGTACTCAACTTTTAAATGTAGAATAGCCTGTATGTTTTAGATTCACAGGAAGTTTCCATGCACTGAGACTTGTCACTGAATATAAATCACATTAATCTACTGGAGACCAGCTTGTCACTAGTCTCTTAACCCTTTTCTGACTTTGTCTAAGGGAACGCAACTCCACATTTAAATCTTGCATCGCAGTTGTTGCTTTGGTGTGGCCTTCCTCCCTGTTGTCATTCAGAATCTAAGCATTTTGCACAGAGATTCTAACCCTCACCTCCTCTCTGCCTCCAGCGGATGCAGTGCTGAAGTTTGACGTGGAGCTGATTGCACTGATCCGAGCCAACTACTGGCAAAAGCTGATGAAGGACGTTTTGCCTCTGGTAGGCATGGCCATGGTACCAGCCCTCCTGGGCCTCATTGGGTATCACCTATACAAAAAGGCCAGCAGACCCAAGGTCTCCAAAAAGAAGCTCAAGGAAGAGAAACGAAACAAGAGCAAAAAGAAATAATAAATAATAATAATTAAAAAAAAATTCCCTTGCATTCTTCACCTAATAACTTCTGAGGCTACTTTTGCAAGTGGGGCTGAGATAAAGGGCTGGGAAGAAGGCATTCTGAGTTGGGTCTTGCCTAGAGTGGAGGTGATTGGTGGCTGGTGGCTTTGGATCACCTCTTCCCCTGGCCACCTCCTCCTGTCTTACCTTAACCCAACGTCCTAGCCTGGACTCTTCCCATAGGACCTCTAGGTCCTGAAAGTGTGGGTTTGGGATCCCACGGTGGCTTGACTCTTAAGGCCTCATTGAGTAGTAAACCTCCCGGAAGGTGCTAGCTATTTTTTCCCCTCCCTGGACCTGCAGTATCCTAGTGTCTTCAAAGTAGAGGCTCTGTCCTATAAGGCAAAGATACAAGGAGTTCATAAATTCCATGGAAATTTTTAATAGTTGAGTCCTAAGGTCTCAAAAAATTCTGTGGGGGTTGAAAAGATATTTTTTTTTGTATCACAAGATGTGGGAGATCACATGGGCTGCTTCAATGACATTGTGAGTGGTTGGTTTTTCAGCAGGCTGGATGGTAGGTGTGGGTATGGGCTGGGGTAAGTTGCTTCGATGGTTGACGATGAAGAGTGGGTTGAGCTGGTTCAGCACTTCATCGCTCACTGAGATGCCATCCAAATACTGCTTGAGCATCTCCCGTAGTTTCCTGTTGATTTCTAATAACTGGCCACGTCTGTGTTGCAGGCTTAGTTGCTCCAGTCTCACTTTATTGTACCTTTTCCAGAAATTTTCCATCCCACTGTAGTCCACTATCACCTGCGAGTTGAGTTAAAGGAAGAAGGTCTGTGTTGGGGCCCACTAGCAGTGCCCTGTCGTCCCCAATCTTGAGCAATGGCACCCCAGCCCTGGGAACTTTACCTTTGCAAGCTCCTCAGTCAGCTCTTCTGGGTTAATTTCCTCCAGCGACATCTGCTCCTCAGGAGTCAATATAGATGAATAGAAAGGCAGCACTTTTTCTTCCTCTGTTTCAAATTTCCTACATATTTCAGCAAGCTTAAGGATCTTTTCACCCTATTAGAAGTAGGAAAAGACCTTCTATTAGGGGGCTGGAGGTTGATACCCCTGCTTGAACCCAGGGAAGTTACTCATCCAAATGGGAGGCAAGAGTAATAAATACATCTAACCCAGACTCCTTCTAAGATGCTAATCACTATCCCAAGTATTTTCTATTCTTACAAAATTCATTCATTTAGTATTCATTTAATGTGAGAGGGGAGGGCCTCCTTGGTGGCCTAGGGGTTAAGTCTCAGCTCTATCACCACTATGGCCTGAGTTTGATCCCTGGCCAGGGAGCTGACCCACATGGCGCAGCAGACCTCTCCTGTCTTGCCCACTGCTCCCCTCAGCAGTGTATTTCACTCCATTCGCCTGTTCTGTTCCCCACTCTGTCTCTGGTGAATCCTCTTGCCCCCTGCACCTCTGGCCTACACCCTGGCTCTTCTATACCAAAAAAAAAAAAAAAAAAAGTAAACTAGGATGGGCTTTGGTGGAACTCCACTTAAAATAATAATAATAATAATGTGAGGGAGGAGGGCACAAGAAGGTATGGTATTTCAAGTCCTATTCAGGCAGGAAGTAAGAGGGATTCCTTTTCTACTTTTCCCGAACTTCTTTTACCTTGCAAGGGACCAGATCCCTTGGTTTTGGTCAACTGCCCTATCCCCATCATTACCTTATTAACAATCTTTTTCAGGGCCTTAAGAGTAGCGTTACTTTCCATGGTGAGCTTCACTAAGTTTTCCTGCGATATTCCCCGGATCTGAGTCCTTTGGGCCTTAAGTTTTCGCAGTTGTACGAGGACCACTTCCTTGTCATTACGAATGTACTGATTCTGATCTTCACTCTCATGGCTGTGCATCATGATTTTGCTCTTTAAAGTGAATATGGAGTCCTGGAGGAACAGAGCAGATGAGAGAAAACACTTGTCTAGCTGAGGATCTTCAGTGAAACAAATAAAAGGACTGTCTGGGAAAGAAGTCAAATTATGTCATCTTTTCAACCAGTTAATGAGGCCCAGTAGAAACTGGGGGAAGATTAAAGGGGAGCAGATGGGCCTCCCTGGTGGTGCAAGGGATTAAGCACCGTGCTATGAAGCAATCCGCAGCCTCTGCAGCACAAGTTCTATCCCCAGCCTGCCAGGGAGCTACCCACATGGCGCAGCAGACCTCTTCTGACTCGCCCGCTTCTCCCCTCAGCAGTGTACTTCAGTCAATCCGCCTGTTCTTCTCCCCACTCTGTCTCTGGTGGATCCTCTCACCTCCCGCATCTCTGGCCTGTACCCAGCTCTTGTGTGCATAAATAAAGAAACCTTTAAAAAATGAAGGGGAGCAGATAAAGCAGTATTTCTGGTTAGCTGCACTAACCTGTAGTTTCTGTATTTTTTTCATCTGTGCCTCAATCTCTTTGGAACTCTTTTCATCCTTCACCTTCAGGGCCTCAAAGGCCACCTTGCGGTCCTCGGTGGCATCAGTGTAATTCTTGAGTGCTTCCTGGAACCTTCTCCACAGATCTTCTACTGTATTCTCCAGCTGCAGTCTTAGAAAGTGCTTCTCTTCTAAATTCTAGGAAGTGACCCCAAGATAGCCAGGGCGTAGAGTTACCCTATTCGTGCCCTTTCACCCCTTCCAGCAACCCCACCCTCTCGCATTGTCTGTAGAATAATACAGTGCAGGGGTCACCGATGAACAGGGTCAGGCAGATGATATAAATAAGTAGTGTGGCCAGAGGGGCCTGCAGTGAGCCAGAAGGGAAATGCTCCAGGTGGTGGGACACAGTGCTTGGCTCCACAGGAAGGTTCCCACTTGGAAATGTGGCTGAGTGTTACCAGACCCTTACATTTTTCAAGGGGAGCTGAAAATTTATATATCTCTTGATTTTTAAATATAGGGAACTTATTAAAGTTTTATAAAACACTGTGATGCAAAATAAAAACAGAGAGCCCCATGCCCCATGGCTAAATCTGCAAGCTCTGGGATGGTGGAAAGCATTTTGGGCCAAGGGCCAGATGACCTGGATTCTCTTCCTGGCTCTATAGCAAATGAGTAGCGTGACTTTGGCAGGTCATTTTACTTCTTTGGGATGAAGCCAGCTGATTTTCTTAGTGTGTTTTAGTTCTAAAATACATTTCCTAGACATTTGAGAATGGCCCCCCACTTCTGAGCAATTTTTGCAAAGTTACAAAAGCAGTAGGGTACCTGCTGAGATGTTTTACTGGCTGTGTTGGTTAAGGGATCTCATCTAGCTCTAGAAGCCATAAGCATTTTTCTCTCTCATCTCCCAGCTCTTGCCCACTCTTCCCCTTCTGTACCTTGTTTTTGAGATCATCCCACATGCTCTGGAACTCCAGCTTGCTTTCATACTCGGAATCGATATAGTTCTGTTCCATGGCCATGAAGACATCTTGTAGGTAGTGAATCTCTTTTTCATGTTGGTCAATTATTGTCTTCCTGTAAGATATAAGACATTGTCCCTGATGAGGGGAAAGCATATGGACTAATAATGACAACTCAAAGCAGTATGTAATAAAACTATATAGAATGCCACAAACTAAGAAACTGGAGGAGCACAGAGGAGGCAGGCTTTATTGATTTTTTTTTTTTAAAGATTTATTTATTTATTTATACAAGCACTGGGTACAGTCAGAAGTGCGGGAGGGTGAGAGAATTCACCAGAGCCAGAGCAGGGAGCAGAGCAGGCAGAAGGACCGAAGTACACTGCTGAGGGGAGCAGCGGGCAGCAGGAGAGGTCTGCGCGCCATGTGAGACCCTCCTCCGGTGGCCGGGGAGCAGCCGGGGATCGAACCGGCACTGCAGAGGCTGCGGGCAGCTTCGCAACCCAGCGCTCAACCGCTGCGCCACCAGGGAGGCCCTTTATTGATTTTTTAAAAGAATATGAAATGAAAGAATGAAAGAATAAATAAGATTATTTCATTTTGATTTTTGCATAATATAATGACATGATAATACATATGAAATAAAAATACAACAGGTAAGAAGTCTTCCTCCCTATCCCCTGCCCCCTGCCAGAAGGGTAGAATTTTTAATGTTTATTATTTATTTATTCTGCATAAAAGAACTGGGGTACAGGCCAGAGGTGCAGGGGGGGCAGGTGAGAGGATTCACTAGAGACAGTGGGGAGCAAAACAGGTGGATCTACTGAAATACGCTGTTAAGTGTAGCAGTGGGCGAGACAGGAGAGGTCTGCTGTGCTATATGTGGGTCAGCTCCCTGGCTGGGGATTGAACTCAGGCCACAGAGGTGATAGCGCTGAGACTTAACCCCTAGGCCACCAGGGAGGCCCAGAAGGGTAGGTTTCTGATTGCTGAAAATGGATGATAAGGACATCATAGATATAGGGATCTGACATGGGCAAAAGAGGCTAAGGCCAAAAGCTTAAATCCAAGTTAGACTTGGGATCTTCTCTGCTGGGAGTTATGCCATCAAGGGGGATGCTGCAGAGTACTGGCCACCTACTACATGAGCTCCTTGACACAGGCTCTGGATTCTTCACCGCACTCAAACTCAAGCCCCCATCTTCTGGTAGGTCTCCGTACCTTTCTGTCTCAAACTCTTTGGTTAGGGCCTCCAGCTCCATGTTGTAACTTTCTTCGAGGAGGCTGAGTCGGCCCCTCTGCAGGGCCAAGAGCTGGTCAACATTGTGCAGGTGGCTGCGCAGAGCATGGGCATACTGCTCCTCGGCTTCAGACAGGTCCTTGGCTAAAGACTGAGTAGGAAATTGAGAGTTACCACTTTGCTTAGTGGAATCTGTGTAAGAAAATTTAAATGTATTCAGCTGGCTAGAGGGATAACACGAATGACATTTCCCAAGTTTCTAATGGCAGTTATTTGGCTCTAGGAGTGCTGGTGCTGCCACTCTGAAATTTGGGTAATATCAGGGAACCCCATGGAGCCAGCCAGTGTCTTAATAACACGTTGAGTGATGGGGCTTCTACTAAAAGGAACCAGAGATTGGAGAAATGGCAGCTTCAGGTCTGGGGCAGAAAAAAATAAGTTGAACCTAGGGTAGCTTGTAAAAGCTAGCAAAGAAGCTAGCAAAGGCCAATAGAATCATGCCAACAGGACTCAGAAATCAACAAAAAATGGATCACTGGAGCAGACTTACGATAATATGATAATATATATGAAATAAAAATATAACAAGTAAGATGTCTTCTTCCCTATCCCCTGCCCCCTGCCAGAAGGGTAGGATTTTTTTTATGTTTATTTTTAATTTATTTTCCATGAAAGAACTGTGGTACAGGCCAGAGGTGTAGGGGGGCAGGTGAGAGGATTGTGCCCATCCAAAGATGGGCACAAGCATCTTTTCATCTGCAATGTAACTTTGCCACTCCTCAGGGAGGTAGTGTCTCCCTCCATCTCCTTGAATTTGGGCAGACCTATGACCACCTGGGCCATTAAAATATGGTGGAAGTGACACTTGCCCTTCCAGGTACGGCTCTATCTGACCTGGCAGCTTCTGTTGTCCCTTGCAATGCATGTCCTGGGGGTGTGGGGGGGTGCTCCCTCCATTAATCCAGCCATCATGTTTTGAGAAACCAGTGCACAAGGAGGAGCCACTAAAAGCATGCCAGTCAACAGCCCAACTGAGTTCCCTACCAACAGTCAGAATTGCTACCAGCCATCTCAGACACTCAGCCCAGCCAAGCCTTCAGATGATGGCAGTCCCAAATGGCTTCTGACTGAAAGCTGAATGAGAGATCCCAAGCAAGAATCACCCTGCTGAGGTCCTCCCTGTGGCCCAAGGGGTTAAGCACAGCACTATGAAGCTATCTGTACCACTGCTGCACAAGTTCGATCCCCGGCCAGGGAGCTACCCACATGGTGCAGCAGACCTCTTCTGTCTCACCCACTGCTCCCCTCAGCAGTGTATTTCTGTCAATCTGCCTGTTCTGTTCCCCACTCTGCCTCTGGTGAATCTTCTCACCCCCCCACATTCTGGACTGTACCCCAGTTCTTCTATGCATAAATAAATATTTTTTAAAGATTTGTTTATTTATGCATACAAGAACTGGGGTACAAGCCAGAGGTGTGGGGGGTGAGTGGATTCACCGGAGGCAGAGCGGGGAACAAAACAGGCAGACTGACGAAATACACTGCTGCGGGGAACAGCGGGCAAGTCAGGAGAGGTCTGCTGCACCATGTGGGTAGCACCCTGGCCAGGAATCGAACTCATGCTGCAGTGGCTGCAGATAGCGTCATAGTGCTGTGCTTAACCCCTTGTGCAACCAGGGAGGCCATGCATAAATAAATATTTTTTTAAAAAAGAAAATTTCAGGCTAGTGTTATAGTCCTGTGAGTCATCAATATGTAAATGACATTTAAAGCTGGGATAATAAGATTGTCTAGGTGTCAGTCACCTGTGGAAAGGGTGAGATGGCCAGACCCAGAAGCCAGGGAAATGTTTATAAGTTTAAAGAATGGAGAAAGGAAGAGGAACTCCCAAAGGAGACTGGATATCCATACCCCAGAGGCAGGAGAAAAGCCAGAAAAGAAAGGTGTCATGAAAACCAAAGGGAAGTTTCAGTAAGTGACCAGGAGTAACAGTGCCATGGAGGAGTCAGGTTAAATGAAGACGAAATGATGAAAAGCAGCCATGACTCAGAACTGGTGGTATTTACAAAAACAGTTTCATAAAGAAGGGCAGGAATCAGATGTGTGATGCAGAATAAATGGGAAGTGAAGGCATGAAGATAGCAGGTGGGGATCACTAACGTTTGCACATTTAATGGTAGTTTCACCTTATCAGGAATGATGCTGAAGGTGCTTAATATAAGCAATGTGTGATTTACCTAAGGCAGGGACTGTAAGCTACAAAGCCATTGAATAGTAAGAAGCTAATTGGCTTGGGGGCCTCTCTGGTGGCACAAGGGGGTGAGTTTCAGCACTATGAAGCTATCACCAGCCACTGGGCATGAATTCCATTCCCGGCCAGGGAGCTGACCCACATATGGCACAGCAGACCTCTCCTGTCTCGCCCACTGCTCCCCTCCAGAAGATCCACCTGTTCTGCTCCCCACTCTGGTGAATCCTCTCACCCCCTGCACCTGTGGCCTGTACCCCAGCTCTTGTGTGCATAAATAAATAAATCTTTAAAAAAAAATAGGATGAAAGAAGGGATACAGCAAAACCCCTTAGGAAAAAAGATGGTACAGACTGAACTCAAGAACTCCCAAGAGCATAGGGGTGTCTGACTGGGTTGCTTAGAGATCCAGAACTGCTCTTACTCACAGAAATCTTTTCAGCCTCATCCAGGGCTACTGAGTTTGACTCAAAGAAGCCAAACAAAATTTGGTTGACTGAGGCACTGAAATGGGGAGGGGGAAAGCCATGCTCCAGTCTCACTGACAGCTGTGTCAGTCGGCAAACAGGTCTCCCTCAGGATCTGAGCCTCTTCACATTGAACTGAAGGTATGGGACAAAGTTCAAGTGATCAGGTGATGCCTCCTGGGCCTTGGCTACTCTCATTTGTTTGGTACTGGCTGGGGGCAGCAGTGACCACGGAGAGTGGCTCCTCTCGGTGATGGACGGGAATGACAGCCCCATATTCTACTTTTTATTTTAGAAAAAGCTCTGATTACCAATAGCCTGGCTTTGTCATAGCCTACATCTTGAGAGGGCTTGAGGACTGCTTTATTGATTCGCTAGATTCTTTCTGTTAAAAGGCAAAATCAAGGCATTCATACCTAAGTGTTTCCTTGAAAAATCACCTACCTTGATGACATTATCCTTGCAGTCCACCACTCGCTCGAATGTCTGACTGAGGATCTCGATGTCCTTATGAAGCTCTCTCATCTTGACCTCCCGAAGGACAGTTCTCCACTGTGTGTTAATCTTATTAAGGTTCAGAGCACTGTTTTGTTCCTCCTTGGCCAGCTTGTCCTGTGTGAAGGAACAAATGTCGTGCCCCACAGGTCAAAATCCCTCATACGGTAACACAAACAAGATCAGTTTGTTAACAGACACCTTATCCTTTGTTTTTTTCTGAGAAACCAAAGTTCCAGGGGGCTAATGCTTAGAGTTCCTGTTCTTGTTCTGGGAGGATCTAAAGTAAGCCAGGAATGGTCCCAGTGGCATTCTAGGGTGTGGAGACATCAGAGCAGGATGCTGCCTGTAATAACCCATCTCCAGGGGGATTATCAGAATTTCAGGAGGCTCATATAGTTGATGGCACCTACAGCGATGTGCCACATAAGGACCTTCCAGTCAACAAAAGACCAGCATGACAACGAGGCTGCCACAATTAAGGTGACAGGGTCAGTGCAGGGAGTGGGTGGGGCAGGGGACAGAGCAAGAAAGAAAGCCATCACCTTCAAGAACTGGCTCAAAAGCCTCTCTTTCTTCTTGGCCATCTCCTCCTCTGCCAGCAGCTTCTGCTGAAACAGAAGCAGCTGCTCCTCTTCAGACAGGGGTACCTTGGCTTTCTTCCCTTTCTTAGACATCGCTGCCTAGGAGACTAGATCTGGGCAAGGATCCTGGCTCAGTCTCAGCCAGCATTAGAGGAGGTACACTCTATGAGGAAAACGCCCCCGAAAAGGCCTTCTGGAACACCTGCTGGACGGGAAACCTTAGATCTCTGACCGCAGGGCAAGCGAGCCGGGCAGAGGGTGAGGCTGAGCTCCCCGGACGCATTTGCGTCTCCTAGCAACAGGGATCTCGCTAAGATGGCGCGGAGAAGCGAGGAGAAGAGGCCCTGGCTTGGACCGCCCTCTGCAGGCTGGAAGACCTCTGCTGCTCGGAGTTTCAGATTTCCAGATGTCCCTTTTGCCTATCAAAAGTCCTAGCTGTCATGGAATCTTTAAAAAAAAAAAAATAAATGTTTTTTTTACTTGCTTTTCCTCTTAAGAAATACAGATAACACATCTTGGAGACGATATGGACAAGCCCGAGCCCTCATACTTTGCTGGCGAGATTGTAAAATGGTGCACTTTGGAAAACAGTTTAAGCAATGACTTAGAATGCTAAAAACAAATTTACCATGTGATACAACAGTTTCACTCTTTGACATCAATGTAAGAGAAATGAAACCTATCCACACAAAGTCTTGGCCAGGAATGTTCTTCGCATTACTCTCATGAAAGCCCGTTTGGAAGTAGCCTAAATGGCCATCAACGTGTAGAATGCGTAGACCAAGTATGTACTTTCCATACAATGGAACATAAACAATAAAAAGGAACACATTATGAGTGCATGTCACTATAGGAATGAACCTCAAAAAACATGCTCAACGAAAGAAACCAGACACAAGTCTCCCTGGTAGTGCAAGAGGTTAAGCAATTCACAGCCTCTGCAGCATGAGTTCGATCCCCGGCTGGCCAGGGAGAAATCCACATGGTGCAGCAGACCTCTCCTGTCTCCCCGCTGCTCCCCTCAGCAGTGTATTTCGTCAGTCTGCCTGTTCTGTTCCCCACTCTGTCTCTGGTGAATCCTCTCACCCCCAAGAGACTATATATTGTAAGGTTCTGTTGTTATGAAGTGTTCAGAAAAGACAATTATAAAGACAGAATAAAGTAGACTTGTGATTGGTTGGAGGACAGGGTGGGAGATTAATATTAAGAATGCATGATTTTATGTTCAACGACTTGATGAATTGGGTTTAAAAATCATTGAATTGTACACTTGAGAAGGGTTATTATCTAATATGAAAAATGTGCATCAATAAGTTTGTTTGGGGGCATAGGGATTGGGTTTTATTTGGAAGGGGCAACTATGAGGGTCTCATAAGTGCAAGGCCTGCCATTTGTCCAGGGGACCACGGCTCAGGATGAATTTAACCCCATAGACATCTTGAACGAGCCATTTTTCAGCTTCCATAGGTTCAAATTCATCTGCATTAAAGTTGGTGAAGTCCCATTTCTTGGAGATAGGGATTTTGTGGTGGCCAGGAAACTTGAACTTGGTACTGCCTAGTGCCTCAATCACACGCTCCTTGTTCTGCAACTTGGTGCAGATTGGCACAATAATCTGGCCAATGTGGGCTCTGGCCACGGTGCCCTGGGCTTTCCAAAGGCGACCCACATGTCTGGAGCCAAGTAACCCCAGCATAGCACAACACCCGGCTGATGTGGGTGATGTGGAAAGGGTAGAGCCGCACTCAGATGTGAAAGCATGTTTCCCCCGCTTTTCACCCTGTTCTTGCTGTCACAAACATGAGCAGATTCCAGGGCTTCAGAAAGGGCCTGCTCATATTCACCTGATACCATGTGGACTCAGTGGCGGGAACTCATCCACCTTTGCCACCTTCTGCCCCATGTCAAAGCGTAAAAGCGCTTTGAAAATTGTAAAGTATTGGGCCACCCCGGTGGCGCAGCGGTTGAGCGCTGGGTTGCGAAGCTGCCCGTAGCTGCCTGTCAGCCTCTGCAGCGCCGGTTTGGTCCCCGGCTGTTCCCCGGCCACTGGAGGAGGGTCCCACATGGCGCGCAGACCTCTCCTGCCGCCCGCTGCTCCCCTCAGCGGTGTACTTCGGTCCTTCTGCCTGCTCTGCTCTCCGCTCTGGCTCTGGTGAATTCTCTCACCCTCCCTCGCTTCTGACTGTACCCAGTGCTTGCATAAATAAATAAATAAATCTTTAAAAAAAATTGTAAAGTATTATGAAGATATTATTATTGAAGGGTTGGCAATTTTGCCAAGGAGAGAGATAATAAATACAGATACATAAGCATGTAACATTGAAACAGGGACCCTGCTGTTAGGGTGGTGGGGCACAGCAGTTTTGTTGGGGCCACCCTGCCCTGCATGCTGCCTCAGCACTCCCATGACGGCTGCGGTTGCCTCAGTCCACAGCCCTAGCATGAGCTGCCCCACTGGGGCTCCTGCAGCTAGGCTTGGCAGGTGGCCCCAGCACACACAGCCTGCAAGGCAGAGTCCCGACAGCATCAGGCGGTGTGCTTCCTCCTCTTCTCCCCCCACACACATCCCAGAGCAAGCTCTCCCCAGGGCTGTGGCAGTGAGGTCTACCCTGGCCTGGCCTGAGCGCTGGGAGGGAGGCCAAAGGGCTCTGTTCTGGGCCAAAAGCACAGGTTCCAAGCAGCAGCAGCCACTTGGACCAGCCCTGCAGCCACTTGGGCCCGTGATCCAACCCTGCCGCGGGGGCCCCTGCATTGCTACACCTGGCAGGCTGAAGCATGTGGGGAACAGGAACCCTCAAGCCCCACTGAGGCTGGCTCTGGGGATGGCTCCCCTGAGCCCTCTGACGTGACCTCAGTGCAGGCCAAGTGTGGAGGAGGTCGCTGGGGTTTCCCTTTGGATTGTGACACCAGAGTCGTGAAGGGATCAATGAGGTTCAAGCTCTCCATTTCCATTCAAGATTTTGAGTTCACCGAGGAATTGAAAATGGAGCAACCTGATTGGTTCCTAACTGGCACCAATCAGACAACTAGGATTGAAAAACGGTCCAATCAGGCTTGAAAGGCAGGGACCCTGAAGAGGATTTGAGCAGGGCAGCAGCCAGCTTGATTCATTCAGGAGATGGCTTCAGAGGAAGATTCAGCAGACCCAAGCCCCCCTGCAGACTTCCACACCCCGGTGCACCTTTGCAGAGGCCTGGCCACTGCGCCTGCCTGCTTCTGGCACCGCTTGAAAAGAGCGCTGTCGGCAAGGGCGTGTGTCTCTTAAAAAAGAACCGTTTGCTCTTAGTTTCTGTCAGCAGCTCACAAAGAGCTGTAACAGTGATGTCTCTGGCATTGCATCCTGGTGACTGGTAGTGACCAGTATGACTGACCAATATTGACCAGCACTGCTAACTGGTGACCAGTACTGCTGACCTGTGTCAAGTCATCTCTGAGCTCTGTCTACTGCTGTTGTTGACTCCAGTGCTGTCCAGCCAGCAGCGCCACCGTGATGTCCTCCATCTGCCTCTCTGAGTTGGATCCTTACCCACTGCTTACTTGTGTGCCACCAGCCCAGGCTTTCATTGAAGGGACACCACTATCTTGCATGAGCAGCCTTTGATTTGAAATACTGGACACTGGGGACACTATCTGGGTTGAGGTTGCCAATCACTCATGACCTTAGAAACTCTTTCCTTTTTTCCCAATTTCCCTTTATTAATAAACCCCAGTGTTGTTGCACTCTGAGCCTGAGTGTCTTGCGATTGTGAGTGCATGAGTGAGAACCCGCAGGGACCTGTCCCCAACCTTGCACTGTTTTACAATAACTGCATTTTGGAGTGCTCACTATGCTAAGTACTAAGCTGAGCACTTTATTAAGTGCTCCGTATGCATTACCTCGTTGAATTCTTTTTTTTTTTTTTATAGAGGCATGTTTATTTATTTATTTGTTTGTTTGTTTGTTTTGTTCATACATGCACTGGGTATAGTCAGAAGCGCGGGAGGGTGAGAGAATTCACCAGAGCCAGAGCAGGGAGCAGAGCAGGCAGAAGGACCGAAGTACACTGCTGAGGGGAGCAGCGGGCGGCAGGAGAGGTCTGCGCGCCATGTGGGACCCTCCTCTGGTGGCCGGGGAGCAGCCGGGGATCGAACCGGCGTCGCAGAGGCTGCGGGCAGCTTCGCAACCCAGCGCTCAACCGCTGCGCCACCGGGGAGGCCCTACCTCGTTGAATTCTTACCATAACCCCTGAAGTAAGTGCTGCTGTTATTTTTATTTCACAGATGGGAAAAACAATGCTTAGAGGGCTTTAGTGCTCTCTCAAGGCAACAGAGTTACAAAGAACAGCCTGCGGGCAAGGGTTGGTCATTTTGGACTGGCCAGTCGCCCATGAGAGGTCTGCATTTATGGTCTGTCAAGGAAGCTGCTTCTTTTCACTGGGGACAAGTTATTCCAATAAGCTTTATAAAGCAATCCCTTCCACACCCTGCTCTGTCTCCTCCCCGCTCGTCTTCCTTTATTCCTCTCTTCCCTCCTCTCTTTTTTCTCTCCATAATTTTTCTGAACCCTTTAGCTTTTATCCTTCTTAGGCACCGCCACCCTGAAATCCATAATTTTCCCGTAGCTTCAAAATCAGCTCTGGGATGGATGCAGAGGCTCCTGTTTCCATGGTGATGTGGGGAGGCTGGTGCACCCTGAGCCAAGTGTAGGCGATGCAGAGAATGGTCTCAGGATCCAAAGGTGTCAACAGTAGCCAGGCTTTAGGAAGAGAAAGCCAAGTCTGAGCGACTGGACTTATCTTAAGCTCCAGAAGTATCTCCACCCCCACCATGCTCCCTGTTCTCCCTAAACTCCTAATTTGGAGTAGACGATAGAACCCCGGGAAGGGAAGCGGTGGGGGCTCCGAAGCAGAAGCTAGCAGCCTTGACCTGTTTGAAGACAAAGCTTAATTTGATGGCAAAGACTGCCACCCCTTCCCCTGGTCTCTCTGACTTGCTTGCCTCTTCCCTGCTCTGACCTCATTTTTGGAGTCAGCTGACTCGGCAGGGCACTGAAGGGGAGCCTCGCAGCCAGCAGGGGGCTCCCATATTCAAAGTTTCTGTGGACCTCCATCCTCTGCTCTGACTACCGCCTGCTCTCACAGGATTATTTGCCGCTGACAGGCTGCAAAGCTGCAGTAGATGGGCGCAGGACAGGAGCTGGGCTCTGGCAGGGGCCATGAGCCTCTCAGCTTGGTCGTAAGCTGTGGGTATTTAACTTTTACAGGCAAAGGGGTATTCAACTTTTACAGGCAAAGGTTTCTTCTGAGGTTTTTCTTTTTTTTCTTTTTTT